TCATCAACACTGGGTAGGACAAGAATCAGTAGAAAAAAGAGCAGGTGAGTGCTGTTGTTAAGGTTTCATGTCTAAATATATATATGTAATATACTTGGAAGATAAGTTCTTAGAAAGAATATAGCAAAAGAAGACAGATAAGGCTCTTACAAGTTCAGATGGAAGAGAAATGAAATGAGCCAAGGTTAGTTTCCTCCCAACCTCTCAGTGGAGGGCCACAAAGATGATAAAGGACCTGGAGCATCTTCCATATGAGAGTAACCTGGATCTGTTCAGCCTGGGGAAAAGACAAGGAGCAATCTGATGAATGTTTATAAATATCTAGAGGAAATGGAAGGCAAATGAATGAGGCCAGGTAGTGTGTAGCAATAGAACAAGAAGCAATGGCCTAAAACTTGAACATACGAAGTTCCATACAAACATGCAGAACTTCTTTACGGTAAAGATGATGGAGCACTAGAGCAGGTTGTCCAGAGAGGTTATGGAGTCTCCTTCTATGGAGATACTCGAGACCCATCTGGATGCCTGCCTATGCAACCTATTGCAGAGAGCCTGCTTCAGCAGCAGGTTTGACTCAATGATCTCTTGAGGTCTCCTTCAGCCCCTGCAATTATGTGATTCTCTAATTCTACATTAAGGTAACCACTGCACACTGAATAATACAAAAAGAGTAACTTGCTGTATCAAAATAAATGAACACATTGCTTATTTTAATTAATAGTTATGCTAATAAAAAAGTTACATAACTTGGAAACATTAGAAGTAAGTGAGATGAGTCAGGGTTTTCCACAAAAAACATCTTCACTGCAGAGTGGTCAAAAGAAATAGCTCTAATCTTATTTAGATAAAGATAAAATGGCATTCTAATATCTCACTATCTTCTCTAGATAATTTTAGAAGTGATTAATATAATAACAGAAGGATCTGGCAGTAGAATAGCATTCCTCTAACACAGAAAGTGTGTGGTTTGGAGCTTGCTTATGTGAAATAAAGATTAAAAAAAAAAATCTAATCTGATCTATTCTCTTAATCTTAGTGTTCTTTAAAACAAACTTTGCTTTGTCTTTGTCTTTACTCCTAATTTTTCTTTTAATTTTTCTTTTTCAGTAGTGACACAGTCACTCATTCCATAGTTTCACTCATTGCAAAACTACAGTACAGGCATCCTGTATGATTTTGTATTTCACAGGTCTTCCTTTTTTTTTTTTTTTTTTTTTTACTTCATATTTAGAATGTCATGTGAAATTCTCTTATCCATTATCATTAAAGTCTAGCCTTTTTGAGCAGGTTCCTTGAATCCCTTAGCTTATAGCTAATTTCAGGGTCTTAGCACATTAACATTCTTCTCTCTTTTTATACATTCTATTCATAGACATTCCACTTCAGGATATATTTGAAAACATTAAGAAAATCATCTTTAGTGATTAGTGTAAGGTAAAGGTGGAAGTACTTTAATCACTGGTCTTAAGACAATTTCTTTCAACTACTAATAAGGAGAAATGGATCTAATGTATCAATGGATTGGGTTTGAGTCTAAATAGCACAGGATCTATTAAGGTGTCAACGTTTCTAAACACAGGGACACCTTTGGCCATGGATCTTTCACAAGGGACTAAGAGAGTAAGTAGTTTGGTAAAATATTGCTATTCTGCTATTCTGACACTTAACTAGTTAATGGTCAACAGAGGCAGGAAGGCTGGGAGGCAAATGATGCCCCACTACAGATGGATCATGAAAAAGCTCTTTCAATAAAGCAAGAAATTATATTAATTTCAAAAATTATTTTTCTTATTTAATAATTTTAGTTTTCCACATCTGCATGAAATCTAAATAGATATAGATAATGGCTAACAGGAACAGGATGAAGGACTTAGATTCAAGAAGCGCTGGTATGAATTATTATTACATATTTTTTTTCCACAGCTTTCCAAACGCAGAAATATTTAAGCAGTTCTCATACATTTAACTTTTCCAACGCTATAATAAACTAATATTAAAGGAACACTCACTATAATTCACTTTGTGTTATGAATTCATATCAAGTGGAAGAAAGCAGAACAACTAGATATTTACATACTTTGCCATAAATAACTCTTTTGACTTTCTGGAAATGCTACAAATTAAAGACGTGGCAAACTGAAACGTTATGAAATGCCAATGGTAGACCAATATCTATTTTCTATTTTGGCCTTTTGAGTCCTATGAATGGGACTTTAGACTTCATGAACTCATGAACATAGTTTCTACTTAACTCTAATTCAGAGGAGATGCATTTCAATCCAAACTAGCTCATCCAAATGTAGTTAAAGATCCTCTTGTATTTTCTGTTGTATATAAAACCTGTATAAAAGTCACTTCAGGTATATATGTCTAATAACCTTGTAACAAAGCACACTTTTGTAATTCCTGAATTCTTCAGGAAAACCAACAGCTTTCAAAAACGTTGAGTCTTCTTGAAGAATGACTCTAGCAGCAAAATTCAGATACCCTTGAAATTAAATAAAATGAGATTCTGTGTCATAAGATGAGTATGTTACCCTTAGTCTGAATCTCTGCAGTTATGCAAGTCAAACTAAGTAGTTTGTTGAAGACAGAAAGCTGAGGTCAAAGGAAACGCTTTCATTACACTGATTCTGAAATACTGAGATCTTAGTCAAGAGCTCATCCATAAAAGAACGCATGCACAGAGTAGTCCTACAACAGCGGTGAAAGCTTCTACTGTACTTAAAAAGATACTGGTGTGATAAACTGTACATAGTCACTTTTCGTAGTAGCTGAGGTCAACTGCATTTGAAAATCCAATTTAAGAATAGTTCATACATGATTACTTTTCTAAAACACTTCTTGAAAAAGTAAAAAAAAAAAAAAAAAAAAGAAAAGAAAAGAAAAGAAAACCACAACCAACACCAAAAACAATCAGGAATGATTAAGTACAACTTCTGAGCTTAAGACGTGAATTGAAAATTAAAGACAGAAAAAAGGCCCAATTAATTAATAGTACAATAATAATAATTATAATATTAATAATAATAATAATCCAAACAAATAAACAAAAACCAAAATGAAGAACACAGAATTGCTATGAGCAACACAGTAATTTCTAATAATACTATTTATGTGGGTTGGCAATAACAGAAGAAAGCAAAATGGTAATAAATACCTCTCCTTCTTCTGTATTTTAAAATTTAATGGCATTAGCAGATCTATTCATTCCATTTAATAGAAAATGTAGTTAGGCACATCAGTGTATGAACATATGATATAAACCCTCCAAATTAATGAAATTATTAATTGAAAGGAAAATGTGTTTTTGAATAAGAGCAGATACCAAAATTTCATCGAGTGGATCACGCAATTCTAGTTTTTTGGACAATAGCAAAGGATCAGGTTGTTAAGAATGTCTAGAGAACATATAATAGATTCAATAATTGCATTAGGGAAAGCACTCCATAATGCGTGTGTGAACTTTAAGTACAGACTTCCTAGCACTTCAAGAGGTATTCCAGCACGTTATCATACAGATGATTCTTGACAAAGCACAACATTAATACTAAGCATCTCTGATCAAACTGTAAAGAATTTTAAAATTATTTTTACTAATATCATATGGACAATTTAGAATCATAGAATCATAGAATCACCAAGGTTGGAAAAGACCTTCAAGATCACCCAGTCCAACCGTTCACCTATTCCCAGTAGCTCCCACTAAACCATGTCCCTCAGCACAACATCCAGCCTTTCCTTGAACACCCCCAGGCTTGGTGACTCCACCACCTCCCTTGGCAGGGAGGTGGCTAGGCAGCCTTTTTTCAGCTTCAAGGTAACACAAGATTTTGAATTAAGCTTTCATAATTGATTTGCAAGCAGTAGGCTTCTTGTGGTTCTCAGCCTGAACCAAGGAACTTACATTCCTTGAAGCATCTTGAACTTTGACACATTTAATACAGATGGCTCTCTAGAAGAAATGAAGCATTGCTGTTCTAGTTGATCCAGACTCCCAGATTTTGTAGGATTTTTTGTTCAAGCTTTATCAGGTGATTTAAGAGTGTCTACAGAAACATTCTTTTAACTGTGTAGCACTCATAAAGTTTTAAGCAACTTCTTACATGATTTACTACCAGGTATCTTAACTCTGCAGGTTACTGGGCATTGCATTTTTTTGGTGTTCTTTTCAGATTGTTCTCATCTCTTTAGGACCACGCAGTTTTATATTATATTTGGGAAGACTACCTCAAAAGAAGAAAATAATTTCTGTGCTAAAGCCAGATGGAAACTTGCCATGAAATTAGGACTTTGGAATGATTCAACAAGGGATTCGACGTTTCTTAAACTTGTTAGCATGAAGGGAACTTGAAACTGTTTCAATTTCAAGCTGCACTCTCTCTTTTTTTCTTCATACTGAGAGACGGTTGTTAACCGTAAGAGAGCTTCCCAACTTTCTGCTTAAGTTGTTTTGTGTCACTACCTTGTCAGAAGAGCAGTATTATGAAATGCATGAATGCCAGAAAATCCTATGATTTTATTATCTTTGTAGATGTGGTTTTGGCCTTGAAAAATAAAAGGTATTAACAAGGTACGTCCTGGATGGACCACAAAAAATTTCACCCAAGAGCACTTTACAGATCCTGAGTTTTTGAAACTTTTGCACGTCCAGTTTTACTGATTGCCTTGCAAACATAATCCTGACCAAGTCAGGGAAAAATGCAAACAAAAGCTGTGCATTTAATCATATTTTTTTCCCCCAGTCTGGTTGCGGCTCGTAAGTCGTCTGATTGAATCAGACACACAACCTTTGCGTGAACCCAACGCACTGTTAGGAGGCAGCTACAGGAATGGATGGATTCCCAAAGGCCGTTGCTTAAATGAGTCCAGTCAAGTAGTTTACCTCCATGTCAGAGAGGAAACAGTTAAAGAGCTCTCAGTGTTCCCCCGTGCCCGGGAGGCAGCCTTTGTGTTTAACGTTGGCAGGGGCTCGGTTCGGGCTGCAGACTTGTTTTAATTGGGGGAGGGGGCAGAACGGAGAGGACGCTCAGCATTCTCCTTCAGTCTGCCTTTCCGTTACTGATTCAGCGGAGGTGGAGATTGTCTATCCCACCCAGTCAGCGGCAGGCGGGAGGATCCGCCGAGACCATCCCAGGAAAAGCTCTCGGAGGAAATCGCGGCAGCGGGGGCAGCAGCCGCAGCATGAGCGCGGAGCCGGGGCCGGCCGCACGGCTGGGCTGAGTGCGCGGAGCCGGCCTCGGGGCAGCAGCCCGCAGGTAATGGAGAGGCACGGCGTGACCGGCCGGTGGGGGTGAGGGTGGATCCCCGGTAGTGGTGCGGGTGGAGGGAGAGCCTTTTGTGTCAGCGGGAGAACTGCGAGGCAGTCATCCCGGCAGCGAGGAGCCCTCGCTGTGCCGCGGTGGGAGACAGCCCAGAGAAACTCACTTGGTCGGCGCTGCTTCTTTCACAGCTTTCGAGCCCTGGTTTAATCAGATCTTGTTCTCGTCTGTACCTCAGCCGCTTTTAGGGCAGATAAAGCGTTGTTCACGTTTTAGCTGCTCTTTAATGCTCAGAACGCTTTCACTTACAACAGTACGCTTTCCTTGCGATTCGAGGCGCGTAGAGCTTTGGGCTTGCTACCCCAGCACGGGATGTTCCCGAGCCCGGACTTTGTAAGCACAGGGAAAGCACACGCACGTGGCCTGCCGGTCTGCCCCATCGCCTCACACCGTGCGAAAGAAGAAAATTAGAGTACATTATTGCTGAAAGTTAGTAAGGGTACCGCCGAGTTACCTACGTGAGGAGGGTCGCAGGTTGTTATCATATGCTGTAATAATACAGACGCTGTGGATTTGTCAGGAATCCACAGGAAAAGATCGTTAAAAATTATTTTATAAAAACACAATTTAATTTTGCTTCTTATGGGAAAGTTTCTGCTGGAAAGAGGGAAGAGATGGCAACCGGCTGTTCTGTTCCCAGCTTTGCTTGCTGTCTGTGTGATTACCATGCCATATGGCACGTGCATATTAAGTTGTCACAGGAAAACGTCATTAAATAAGGAGTACACTATATTGTGACTAAGAGAGTCTGTGGGAGCTGTAGTCACTGTAAACGATATAAGTATAAATATTTGTCTGAAAAGAGTTGTGGTAAAAAAAAGTTGCCTGCTATTTCCGATGTGATTTAGAACCGTAAAGCAAAAGCACTTCCATCCTGCTGACTGCTGCTGACCATCCATTGTAACAGGCATTTAACAAAGAAGGATTTGCTGTTCAGCATATCAAACTTTAAAAGAACACAGGTACTCACACTTGGTCAGCTGGCCATCTCAGATGCACCACGACAGAAGACTCAGTTTGGATCGCTGGTCTGCATATGCTCTGCATAATAGACAGAAATAGCCATTAGCTTTACAGAAGCTGCATACAGCCATGCACACACTTTTACAGATCACATAATAAATATTTATAGTGTGGCTGCGCAGAGCTCCTATCAGTAACTTGTCTGCCACATTTTTTCTGTTGTAAATTGTTTTCTTGTTATAAACCGAATTAATAGCTCTATAGGGAATGAAATAAGGACTTATTTAAAGGCTCCCTTCATGCAAGTCTCTAGAAATCAGAAAGTTATAAATACTTGACTTTCTATTCTTCTTTTGGCAACACTGCCACAAGCCACCTAAAGAAACTTCATCCTAAATTAGACCAAGATTTGAAGGAAACGGATTTTAGAGCGTCTTCCTTGGCTTACACCTCCAGCAGGTTTCACAGAAGGTGCTATCTGCCCCCTGCAGCAGGAGCCAACAACTCTGGAGACACAAACAGGCAGCTATACCAGGACGGAGTGCTATGATGCTTCCTTTCCTATCTAGAAATGTCATGAGTTATCACTTAGAATACTAAACCAAGTTGTTTTATTTTTTTTTTTTTATCTGTGGAAGAGCGTGATTTTTTTTCATAATTAACTTAACCCTGGATAAGGACTGCAACATGAGCTACAATTACATGATTCAAGAACCAAAGACTTATCTTTATCTCAGCAAATTGACACAAACAGTTTTAAGGACTTTTCTGGTCAAATGTCCTGAGATTATGAAAGTCTTCCCCCCAATATCTTTGGACTTTGGATCCAGTCCAAATTTTGATTTGAAATACATGTATTTTCACACTTCTTCTGAAATCTGGGTAATTATAAAGTTAAAAAAAATAACATAAAGACTAATTATTGCAAAATATAAAAAACACTAAAAAACAACCAAATATAGTGCCTGTAATTATTAATGCAGAATTGGTACCTTACCTTTAAATAGCCAAAATAATAACCTTTCATTTTGTTTAAAATACCACAGAACAGTCTCCAAAGGCTCCCTTTAATGGTATACTTTTCTTGCAAGACTACTTTTTAAAACAAAGCTTCACCCACCATATTTTGTCCTTTCACATACAAATTCTGTCTCCAACTAAAAGGATCCTGCAGGATCTCATTTGTCTTTGTGTCTTGTTAGTGAATTAATGAATGGGGGCAATCTAGATTTCAGAGTAACACGATATAAAACACCCACAAACAAGTGTTTACATACATGCACTACAGAAAGTGCACAAATACCCTTCTTTCTACATGAGAAATAGGATGTGTTACCCTACTTGGTGTACTGATGTTCCATTTCTTTTCTTTTTTTTTTTTCTTTTTTCTTTTCTTTTCTTTTTTTTTTTTTTTTTTTTTTTTTTTTAATTGTTTTTCTCTGCAGGTGAAAAACTGCTCAGTATTTCACTGAGATACTGAAAAAACCTGCCTCGCTGACTTTGCCCATTTGGGACTTTGTGATGGAAGCCTTGTATTTACGAGTCTCTTTGCTGCTGCTGCTTTTGGGATTTGTCTTCTGTGACAGCTCTGACAGATACGCTACCAATCGGAGTGATGTGGGAATCTACCTTTCCACTTCCTCAGGGATTGAATCCAGCCTACTCCCCGCCACTAGACGGCCCCTGGTATCCAACCAAACTGTCAAATGCTCCCAGCAGACTAAGATTGCTGAAACTTTTAAATACATTAACACAGTGGTATCTTGTGCTATTTTCATCGTTGGAATGGTTGGGAATGCAACTCTGCTGAGGATCATTTACCAGAACAAGTGTATGAGGAATGGCCCAAATGCACTGATAGCCAGTCTGGCACTAGGAGACCTTATCTATATTGTCATTGATATTCCTATCATTGTGTACAAGGTAGGATGCGACAACACCACCTTTTAACTGCAGTTTCCTTACAAGTACACTAGTTCTCTTTGGTTACTTCTCTAAGTAGTACTTCTTTGTCAATGAATAGTTCACTTAAGAAAAAAACACAACTTGCTTTCATTCTATAACAACGTTCTTGCTCTCAGGTCTAACCTCTTCATTTAAAGATGTAGCTCCAACCTACATTCGTGCTATATCAAGTAGCTTTTCATTTATCCTAACTGCTAACAAAACAAATTGTGAGAGTAGACTTTTTATAAGTTGTTCTCCCACTTTATGGGCAGTATATATATAGTATAGGGCTAGTTGCTATTTTTGGAATATTTTATCCTTACTTTATGTTTTTACAGAAAATACTCTGTGATCAGCAAGATTCATGTTATGACTGCAGAGAGACATTGTGTCAGTTACGCTGTGAATTAAGGTTTTAATTCAACACTCATAAAAAACAGATTTCCGAAGTTATTTCAGGGCTAGTAATTATTAATTATATCACAGAACTCTTTTGAAGAATCAAATTTCATCTGGTTTTCTCAACGTATAAAAGGGGTCTTCAGCACTTCTGTCCCACTTGTTCTTTCTCTTTTTAAATTTTATCTTTCATTTTAATCAAACAAAGCCATAAAATGGTGCTTTTTTTCTAACGCAATATATGTTTACTAATGTAACATCCCAAAGAGTGGTCAGGCACTGGAACAGGCTGCCCACGGAGGTGGTAGAATCACCGTCCCTGGAAGTATTCAAGAAACATGTAGATGTGGTACTAAGGAACATGGGTTTAGTGGGTGATATTGGTGGCAGGTGGACAGTTGGACTAGATGATCTTAGAGGTCTTTCCCAACATTAATGATTCTACGATTCCAGGACAGGCTTGAAGGAATGGAATGAAGTCCTTTTTGAATATATGTATCTCAGTGATGTTAACTTGTTTTAGAAAGTCTTCAAATAATTTTGTAATCCTTGTGGATTATACAAATCCAGAGCTGATGGGATATCAGTAAAAACTTGAGGCATTTCTGACAGTAAACTTAACATTAAGTAGCATAATGAATCAACCATTCCTCACATTTTGGCCTTTACAGATCATAGAAACTTAACTTTTAGGTACGTGAATTTTAAACAAAGCAAATTAATTCATGCATAAATTTAGATTAAGTAGTGTTCCATGGTTTCCAGTTGGATTTTTAAATTAAAAAAAAAAAACCCCACCGGTGAGCTGAATAAAGAAATATGTTATATTTATTGCATAGTGACTTGGCCTGCATTATAAAACAGGCATTGATACAGCAAGATCATAACAGCTTGAAATCATTAATGAATTAAAAATATGCGTATGTGCATACATTTAGTTTCTATAGAGCCATATAACCAACAGTGACATGCACGACCTGATTCTGATCTTACGGTAGTATAAATTACAGATAAATCTTTAAACTTGGCTTAAACATAGTATGAATTTGAAAACAGGAAAAAGGCTGTTAATCATAATGAACATGATTTAATGGAAATGCTCCTTTCCACTTTCCTGTATCCCATCTGGAAAATACAATGTTCAATTTAATGATAAGATAGCAGAAGAAAATATTTTATATTCTCAAGGTAATGCATATGATTAGCCTTTGCCTGACTTGAGATTACCCTTTGTCTTCCATACCTATGGGATGCTTAATGAGACATGAGATTAGGGTTTTGCATATTTTCATTCTCACTACTAAATTGGATTTATAGCCTGGACTACATCTCCCATAATGCATTGCTGTCTTTATAGATATTTGCTAGGGTACTGTTCTTATTTCTTTGGAATGTTTGATAAGAAAATTGAAGGAAAATATGGCACGTGTTTTTTCCAAGCTAAGTTTGGGAAAGAATAGGTATTCTTACTACAAAATCTTTTCTAACCTTTCAAGAGCTGCGCTGTATCTAAGCATTGAAAGAGAACTGGAAATATGAAATTAATTTTGCCTTTCAGAACTGCCTTTTGATAGTCTTCTGAAAATTCTTAAGGAGTTTAGTTAAAAGCAACAAGCTACATTTTTAAACTCCTTTTATTATTTTGAAATACATTTTTGCAGTTAATCTTCTGACGCCCTGTGTGTTCTGAAAGTTCACTAGCCTCACTATAACTTGTATGATGAACTGTGCTATTGAACATGACCATAGACTATATCAAAATATCTTTCTGGACTGCAGAGAAGTATTTGATAATTAAAGGCTGCAAATGAAACTGCAAACCCCTGACATCAATGTATGTCAACTCTTACATGCTACAACTCAGAATTAAAATCGTGATGACAAGCATAAACCTAGCTTTTAGTAGTTTTCTGAGTGCTAGAACATCCAAAATTATTTACTGAAAAATTCTCATATGCAGCCACCTTGTTGTATAAGGTTAGCTGCATGTGTTCTGAAACATGGGTGTGTATGTAGCATTTATAGTGAGTGCTATCACTTTTGCTAAGAAATTATTAGTTACAGGACAATTTTCAAGTTACCCATTCAGCAATATGTCATTAGATTATCATTAGATGTCGTTCCTATTTGTATCTCAAGAGATCCTCAAATCTGTGGCACCATTTAGTTCCCCTAGCTGAGTGATAACATAAAGGATGGCGACTACAAGTACAACCATCTGAAGACAGTAGTGACAGGAGGAAAGAGTCAATGATTCTGTTATGCACTTAACAATGATGTGACAATTAAAAAAAAAAAAAAAAAGGAAAAAGAAAATAAGAAAATAAGAAAAAAAACAAAGAAATTACATAATTGATGTCAGATACAGATACGGTCACAGATTTTTGCCATTTTTATCCCCTGTACTATATGGTAGACTCAAGAATTACTACTTACTTTCTCCAATTACGGTAATTATATGGTGGATTCCCCTTAGCAATTTGTTAAATGGTCTGAGATGTTAGTAATATTCACTAGCCTCCTTTGAAGATATTCTGAATATATTTAAGTCCCATCAGGCTTAATTACCTCTAGTATATTCACTTATAGGATCAAATCAATATTAAAATTTCTAACAAATGAGCTTTACTAGAAGGATGCCAATTATAAATCCAACCTAATGGACTGAGCAACTCATTCTAACACAATTTGATTTTCAATCACACTTACAGAACCTGGACCCAAATAGTTTTCTCTTAATGCAAAACATACAAATCTCAGATATTCACGATATCATAACATGAAGCCTCCAAATCAGTGGCAATTACTTATTTTCAGTGAAAAGGAGACTGTGAACTATAATGCTCTGTGGTGCTATAGAGGCAAGGTTAAGGCACTGAAGAAGAGAGAGTTTCATACCTCCTTTTCTATAATCAGGTGACACAGCACAACCCTGAAAGCTGCTGCGTCACCCACATTACCCATCACTGCCACTTGCAGAAATAAGTTAAGTTTGGACTTCATGTATGATGGTTTATTTAGGGGACTACCTTCTATGAAGAATCTAGCCAGATTACTAAGGCAGGAAGAGCAGAACATGTCCATCCTGGTTGTACTAGACCTTTGGAAAGCCCTTACAGCTGCTGCTGCTGCTATCACTGTCTAGTTTAGCTAGCTTCTCTCCATAGAAAAATCTCTCTTGCTTCTGAAAGAGAAAGTTTCCTGAGCTCATGAAGCTAGTAACATTCTAGGTCCAGGTTCTCATCTTCACAATGTCAAAGTTCAGCATTAAAGAAGTTACTGAGAAGCTTTGAGCAGTCTCCACTTCCATTTTTATGAAGGAAAAAAAAACAAACAACCAAGAACCCCAAAGCAAAAAACAAACAAACAAAAAACCAAAACTTTCTAAATGAATTCTACTTACTGAAAAGGAAACTACATCAGGTTTACGTTAACTTTATCATCTTAAATCTTAATATTCTTAACTCTTTAAGTCATCATATTATCGAAAAGTAAATGAAACAAATAAGCCAGTTTTTAACCTGTTTGATTTTTACATACTTTTCCTTAATTATTTTACCAGTATAACATAAAAGACATCTACCCAGAAAAAAGCATGAGTGTCCACTTTTCAAACAGCTCATCACAGTATTGCTTTCTTTAACAAACTACATTTTCTTATTCATGTTTATGTTTACACTACAGTGTCAATGGCTTCTAAATCTGAGTGGTTCACCTAGAACTCTATAAAGTTAAATGTAAAAGTTAGCTGTCAGTAAGCAGATATTTTCAGCCATAAAGGAAGACTTAGCTCAGGCATTCTTAGTCATGAACACTTTTCAACATCAGAGCAAATGCAGGAGCATTAGAATCATCTCTTCTAGATCACAAGTTATTTGGCTTATCTGATTGCTTTCACTGACAGAATATTATACACAAACAATGCGGATAACCAAGTGTTATGGTTTTATGATTTTTGGTTACTGATATTCCACATCATAAACCATTCCAACCCATAAACCGTTGACACCAAAGATAGCAGGAGGGATTCTGTATACTAACTGAGCAAGTGACATCCACAGTAGTTATAGTTTTGTGCTGAAGTAGTGCAAGGACAAGCCCATAGCAAATCACTATGCACATAAGCACATCTTGCAGTACATATTTCTGAATAAGAGGAGCACAGCTTGAGAAACAGTCTTAATTAAAAGGATGGGAAGTTAGCCATCAGCACTAAACAACCAGAAAAAAAGAACAAATTCTACTCCGTAAGCAGCACAACATCACAGGGAAGATGTCTAGAGTTTTCTGGAATGCTTTGCTGCTAAGTAGATTTTCGTAATAAATATAAAAATCTTAAAGAGAATGCAAAAACTAGGATTTATGGTTTTCACCTGCTAAGTGAGACAGAAAACTCTCCTTCAAAATCGAGCCTTTTTTTTCCGGGGCTCTTCAAGCATAATTTATTTTCCCTTGTATAAAAACTATACATTCCTTTCCCCAGATGCCTAAGTGAGAGAAAATGATTGCTCATTTTCACTCAGCTGAGTAAAGTGGCAGAATGAGCTATAATAGAACAATAGAGGAAAAAATGTCTTTGAAGTTACTCCTGCATCCCCACAAAACCTTTCTTCCTTCCAGAAGAAACAGTCCATCTTGAAACCCCCTAGAAATCGGAAAGATGACCGCTATTGATTTTACCAAAACTAAGAATATATTTCCTGCAAAGAACAGCAGAAGAGATAAAGTTTGTCTTCATGCTTTTAGGTGTAAGCAAAATGCTAATAGATAACAAAGACAGTAGAAGCCTGAACTACTGAGTCACCTCGATATTCTCAGTGTTAGTCTTGTGTCCTGCACTACCAAAATTTGTCCTGTTCTCCTCTAATTTTCCCATACTCAATGCCCTTCCAAAGTTGAGGACTTTCACCCCAGCAGTGTCAAGAGCAAACAGTGGGAATACTTAGAGGCAGACAGTATTCTCTCTCCTTTACCCTTACAGCTCTCCTCACATGCAAAGTGGTAGAACAGAGCTGAGGCATATATCTGGAGTGTGAAGCAGTCCTAAAGTAGAAATGGATGAGTGTCCTCCTGCAATGCAATTCTCTTCAGGGCACAGGGTTCGTAGAAAGAAGAGAAAGACTTAAAAGGATGAATTTTTGTGCTGTGAAGTTTCATAGGAACATGAAGGGTCCTGGCTGAGTCATTAAATCAAAATATTGCAACCAAAATACTACAAGCAGAAACACTTCTTTCGAATCAATGAGTCTTACACATTGGAAACAGGAACACTTCAGTCAGAATTAACATCTTTTGTCACTTAATGTCGTTAAGTCAGTATCCTCTTGGATGCTTCTATGTGCAGTCAGATTCCACCTGAATTCCAGCTGAAACAGCAGATACAATATTTGGCCCATGCCTTGAAACTGACATACCTAACTGTAGATGACCATTTAAGACAGAGCTGCATTTGCACAGCTCAACATTTCCTACAGGAAACATGACAAAATCCCATGCGATATGACTCATATTTCATTCTGTGCTATGTTGCAAGGAAAGGACATCACCCAAGAGTACACTAATTTTATAACTCCTACTGCACAGTTAGAAGATGATGGCAGCTTATACAACTAAAAGTCAGAAATCTGCTGTTCTGGACCCTGTACCCATCATTGCACAAGCTGAACAGAAATCAGGGAATAAAAAAGAGTATTTCAATTTGTCCTACTGAAGACACAGCTGAAACTTGACTGCCAGAGTTGTGCCATCAGAATCACCAAGCACCTGCAGCTCATGAAAGTCAGGAGAGTATCCAACACAGGAAAAAGATCTGGGAAACAGATCTCATCTATCTGCACAGCAATGACGCCAAGCAGATGCAGGAAGAAAAGGAAGATGCTAGAGCACTAGTATGTAATTACAGCAGAAAGAGGTGGATATACTAAAATTTTTGCTTTCAACCTCAGTGCCATGAAGAAGAGAAAGAGGACATCTTAAAACACAGTTGTTGAACGAAAGCAGGTTTTAGAGAGTCATTTCACAACCAGCATCCAATCCAGTCCATCTATTTTGGGATGAGTGTCAGGGTCACCAACTGCCTTTAAACACACATTATCAGCCTAGAATTAGATAAACATTGGATGCATATGAGCATGTGCTGATAAATGCTCACGTGGTTAGATTATAACATTCTCTCTTTTAGACTATATATAAGTTGCTAAGGATGCACAGTGGGACTTTATCTGTGTTTTGTACATCATCTAGCATGCTAACAGCGGTTAGAAAATAGCAACAGCAGTAGAATAAAATCAGCTGAGTGACATTTAAAAATCACTGCAAAGGAATGTTCTCAGCACTGCTGTCTTGTTTGTTTCGAGCTGCAGCATTGGGGCAGAGAGGCCACATAAAGGAGCAGAAAAGAGGGGAAACTGCAGCTTTCTGGTCACTTCACTGAGGGTTTTTTTTGTTTGTTTGTTTGTTTTTTAAGACTGTTGAACCTTGAAATTTTTGTTCTGATTTCAGTGTAAAAATATGCTGTGGACTATACTTTTTTCTGGTACAGGAATTGCTCCACAGTTGAACCTTATGAAATACTCTTAGGCTGCAAATACACAAGGGGAAAAGTGTACTTCCTTTGCCTCAAGTCTTATTTTGAAAACTCCGAGATTTTTTGAGCGGGGTTGCAAAAGCAGAATCCATTTGACCAATTCATGGGGAACTAGGATACAAGTTAGGATAATCAGCCTGATTCCTCCTATCCTTATGGCTTAAGAGAAAATGTAATCTGCTAGAATTTTTCCTCCATTTTGTTTGGATATTAAAACATGCAAAAGCACTGGAAGAGCAAAGCAAGCAGGCCCAGTACTGTATCTTAGTAAATCAGAACTGATTCAGTTAAATTTCTGTGTCTAAGTTTTCGTTCAAAAGGAACATGCTACTTCCCTCTGAAGTTTCTACATTCTGCTAGAGTAGAAGAGAGGGCAGTGGACTTGTGTTGATGCAAAAATTAGGAAACCACTGACTAAAAATATCTAGAGAAGAAAAAAGCTGGCACCTGATCCAAAGGGAAGATGCATAGCCGATGTGGAATGAGAATGCAGGATATGTATGGAAATGATCTCAAAAATCAAGCAACTTGATCCTGATCCTAGTGATTTTGATTAAAATCAACTTGAAAAGAATGTCTAATGATTTGGTACTGGCGATACTTCAATTACTGGAAAAGTGTAAGAAACAAAAGGAATAAAATACTTTTCATCTAAAAAAAGGAGAGCTTCCTGGGGTTCAGGGAAGATGTGTACATGCTGAAACTGTCATAAAGCTTCCCAGTGAGGAGTAATAGCTAAGTGAACCTTTTTCAAGTACAACACTTCTCTTTTTGAAGATAATATTTGCTTTGTAGTACCAGTTTCATGGTCAGTACAAAGTCTTGTTCATTTCTATTGCTGATGATAAGCTACAGACACAGTCAGTGCACACAAATTCAGGGCTGTTTTCCTGTTGCCACTTGAAGTGTGATTTATAATGATAAATCAGTTTTGGGGCTCTTTATAACAACTGTTAAAGATCAATAAAAGTCTGCTAGAACCTCTTTCCTTGGCAGTGACACTTACTTAATTTTCATTCAATGGTTGCTGAAAACCACTCACATTTTAACCAAACCCAGATACCAGATGATCACTAACTATTGAGAAAGTGAAGCTGAAATTCCATGCGACTAGAACTGGTGGAAATCCACTTCGGGTTCAGATTGGTCTTTCTTTCTCTAACAGTCTTTCTGCAGCCCCTGACATTAAATATAGATTCATGCAAGATTTTCTGGCAAAAAGCAAAAATATGCTTTGAAAACATTTGTTCTATAGTTGCCAATCCATCCAGAAGATAATTCTACTGGAGCTTTCAATGTGTTTCACTCAGTTTGTACAGATAAAACCAAAAGAACAGTTCAACAGCTTGCAAACAATCTCATTACATTCATTACTGAAGGTACTGACAATAGTGAAATCTTCAATTCTACTGATCTATTAACTATCCTCTGGTACAAGGGGATTTGCTTTTGTTAAATACGATTGGCCTAAACTGGAAGACCACTGCAAAGATGGTCCCATTCTGTCTGCAGTGGTACTGATACCAAATAAGATTCTCAGCTCTCCTTGAGAAAGGAGAGATCTCAGTATGCAAGAAAAAAACCATACTGATCTAAACTCTAGTCACCCATTTACATCCTTCCAATAGATGCCTTTCTGTTACCATGTCTGATGCTAGTCCTTTAGAACGTAATATGGAACTTATTGTGTATGTACGCTATTTCCTCCACACGCAGTTAAGAAACTGGCAGTGAATACTGACATGACTTACGCAAAAGTACATTTACATTGACAAGAATCTACTTGCATGTAAACATGAGAATTTGGCTCTGAGGTATTTTATTATGAACTATGAATTATGCTTTGAATGCTTGGTTCTAGGATGTGCTAACTGCAACCACTTCCGATGGGGTTGAGTTAGGTTTTCACTATTAAATGCTAGTGGATGAAGCACATCAACAAAACATCTTTTATCAATACAAGCATAGAAGGTCAACACTTCAGCTTACATTTTCACAGCATTCATTTCATTTTCTACAGCAGCAGTTACTTCCCAGACTCATTCAGCACTAAAGATATCTTTGAGGTATGAAAAACTCAAGATTACAATTAGGTTTAAGACAAGAAAGAATTATATTTGTTACATACTTGCTAAAGTATTGTTCAAATATTCTGATTATTTTTTATCTTTCCTTTAGCTCCTGGCTCAGAAGTGGCCTTTTGGAGATTCTGAATTTGGGCAGTTTCTTTGCAAATTCCTTCCCTTTATACAGAAGGCATCAGTGGGAATCACAGTCCTTAATCTCTGTGCACTTAGTGTGGACAGGTATGGTATATTTCACACTTTGGACAGACAATGTAATTGGGATTTCAGTCAGTATTCAATCTTTTTTGCTTTCATATGACACTGTTTCATATTTGAACAGGATCATAAGCTTTAGACTTAAAAATAGTTTTTCAAATCATTAGCACTATACTACAATTACAGCGTTTATTTTTATAACTCATAAAGCCAATTGAATTTATTGAAAAATATACCAGAAATCTGCTCTGATATATTGATGTTGGTAGTTTGAAAATTAGTGTTTCATTTAAAAGGGTTTAAGAAGGTACATAAATATTATGGGAGGAAAACAGCTCATTATTACTTTATGCTTTTTTATGTATACATGTTAAGCAATAGTAGAATGAAAATTCACTTCTCTTAAATCTCTTCATTTTTATTGATCTTGAGTTAACCTGATGAAATTCTAGTCTATAGCAATTCTGAAACACTGATAAATCCCCTCTTCACAATAACACAGAGATGCAAAGATAATTGAAAAATATTAGTTTGATTGTATATGAAAATTCGATATACAAGCTTTACAATGAATGAGAACTTAGTAGTATCTATACCCAAAATACATTTTACACAAATAAATACAAATTACATTACATGTAATAAATTCCTTATTACATTAGTAACTCATTAAATGAGCTCATTAGCTCAGTAGAAACAAACTCCTCAAGTAAACGCTCTGTTTCTTTAATAAGTCTCAAAATTGTAAAAATAATTCTACTTCTCAAACAATGTCTGCTCAGTATAAAATACAACGCCAAAGACTACTCTAGATCAAACACATATGAAACTAACAGTTTCTTCACAGCATTCTCACCAATGCAGCTCACCAACATTTCACTAGCTATAGTCCTATGACTATGCACATTTTTAATAATCGGAACTCAGCTGAAGCTGTCTTTTTGTATACGAATCTATAAGCAATCTTTTGCTAATCCTTACAAGAATCAAGTGCTATTTCTATTTGAGTATAAAATCTTGTATGTGATCAGACTCAGACTGTTTTATTTCATCTAAACTGCATACTTCACCAAGGACTTTATCAGCTGATACTACTGTAATACACACCTACAAGAACATGTGTTAGAAAACAGGTATGCATAGCCAGTGTCTTGTCGTGGCTAACACAAAGTGAATCTGGGTTAAATTGACATTAAAGTAGGATCTGAAAGCACCTTAAGCAAATTACGTTAGGCAGTGGAGCATCAGTCATAGTCACAACACAAAATTCTACATCAGCTATTACATACCTTTTAATAAAGAAAATGAGTAAATATAGACTTGTGAGCTGCTACAGCAGGACTGTTCCTGGTCTATGGGCTACTTTTACATTTTGTTTTTATTCTTTTGCCATAGAAAAGCTCCTGCAAATGACATCATTTACAGCTAGTTTGTGTGCCTATGTATGGGATTGCATTCCGCAGTATAGAAATAGATGGAATCAGTTGCTATAATTAACTCAGAGCTTTATAGCTTTGATAATTGTTGACTCCCTAGCTCTCATTTGTAGACCACAGCCTTGATTTAGAACGTTTGCTCTTTCCTAAAGGGACTGGTCCCCTTGTTAACTGCATGCTACTGAAACTCTACTCACTATTAGTTCCCCCTTACACAGAACAGCTTGCTCTAACAGTGTGGTAAAATTAACTGTATATTCCCAAGGGAAACAATGTCCACTTACACATGATCTCAAGAGGATGGCAAAAAACACCAAAAGAGTCATCATCTTTCAGAGAAAGTTCACATTTATTTCAGATGCCTCTCAGGCATTTTTAAACTCCAGGTCATGAGGATGATGATAGTTTGACTTATTTCTAAACAGTCCCTGACTGCGATGAGGAGAAAGGATATTATCCTTCCTGAACTTTTACTTTTGCTTATATCTTAGACATAACAATTTTGATGAGAAGATGGCTTTAAGAAGAGTCAAGATAAGGATATCACGTCATAAATAGACACTCTCACTTCTTCTGCACAGAAAATTTATAGGACACTCAGCTTAGTTGCTTTCATCTGGACCAACTTCCAGTGAGTGTAGCAGATAGTCAAGATTGCAATACCAAAGAAAAGCAACATAAGCCTTACGATATTAAGAGATATTAGATTAATATCAATATATTAATGATTCATAATTTTAATTTTTTTTTTAATTATTAACTTATATTGCAGTCAACACACAGTGAGCTATCTTCAGAATGAGGAACTGCTGTAATCTCTAGGAGCAAAGAGGAATAGATCAGTATCAGCAGAGGCATAAAATGCTAACCTCGAGAGTAACCACTTCTCATGTACTTGATCAAATATTGAATGACTTTTCTACTACTTTTCTCCTTTTATAAAGGCCTGGTACGACTTGCAGAACCAAAATACATTGTACTAGTGGGTCATTAGAACATCTAATTTTAATGCAGTCAAAAGAAATGGGGAAACAAAGCCACTTTCTCCAAAAGACAACAAGCTTGAGAAATGATTGGCTACAGAAAACTTACAGGCCATGATTTAATTTTCATATGCTCCTTGATATCACTTCACAAGGCCCACAGCACATTCTCTTTTCCAATTGTGATTAGATTCCACTATGGTAAAAAGAACTTCCAAAATATTCCAGAAACAAATCCAAGTCACAGCTGAAAACATAAACTTACAGCTTTAATGAGGCTAACACTGAAAAGCTAACTAGAGTTCAGGAACTATTTTTTTTATCAAGGAATGGTGAAATCATGGAGAGGGTGTAAAAAAAAAAAAAAAAAATCAGAAATTATTCAGAGGCCTTACAGATCTCAGAAATGATACTGAAGAAGCCTCTTCAATATTATGTCCAAGTTCTGAAATACAGATGATGCATCAGTTATTCGTGAGCTCTTTAGCTTTGCAAAAAAAGATATAATGTGAACCTATTAATCAAAGTTTCAGCCAGACATACCTAAAGAAAACAAATTACACGTGAGGGCATTGACTATAAGAAATCACAAAGAAAAGGTGAAGGTGTGTTGCTTTTAATTTTCTCAGGTCAAGACAAGATGCCATCTGTAAGACACGCTTGAAAGAAGTTATAGCTGGGTAGGAGTGCAAAGTATTTAGTTTTATGTAGTGCAGATACTTCATGATGCAATAATCCCTTGTCCTCAAATACTGTGCATCTTTGAATACAAGTAGCAGGATAGCCTGCAGGATCCATGAAAAGCAAGCTGGAATAAATAGACCAGAATGGAAGAAGAGAAAAGAGAGGAAACGGAGAGGAGAGAGCAACTGAAGGGCACAATATACTCAAGTTGACAGCATATGCATGAGCAGTAAAAAACAAAACAAAAAAAGAAGCCACAGCACTAAACATGGAAAAGGAAATGACATGGAAAAGAGCTGAACACTTTAGACAAGGTTGGAAAGAAAAAGGAAACAAACTAAAAAGATAAAATAAGATAAAATAAATTTTAGATTGAGGAATTAAATTTATTTCAGTTCCCTGGCAGACATCCTATATTATTATTTTTTAAATGGGAGGGAAATAAACCCAGCAGTATTTTCCCATTCTTAATTATGGGATCTTTGTGCCTATACAAAGATTATGCAAATAATAAAACCTACAGAACACCCACTAGAAACATTTTACTACCAGAGTTTTTGAAATCACTGTTACAGCAATAAGCAGTGACCAAGTAATTGCAGGTTAGTACATACTCAGGAAATTCTGATCTAATTAGTAAGCTGCTTATCCTTTAGCTGAAACCATTCATAACATTTTTCAGTCAGCGGTTCCTCATTTGCTGGTTATTTGAAATGTGAACTAAAAAAAAAAGATGTATGATCCAAACCCTTGCACGCTGATCTTCTCCTGTTCAAAGTAGACATAACTTGAACAGAACAGGTACAAAAAATATACAAGAATGAAAAGAATTAGATTCACGATTTACAACTTCTTTGTATTCATTTACATAGCTGCACAGGCAACACAGCACAAAAAATTATTTCTTATTTGAAAAAAATGTAGTCCACAGTCTCGTATTTAAGAATATCATTCAAGGATGATGGGACAGTACCATGCACTGCAGCTGACTGAACTGATTGCAAGGTTGTCAGTTAGCAAAGAATAAACTGCACATTTGCTGCTCTATTTTCAAAGTTTACTTAGTACAAATACTGAGTATTTTTGGGAATACTCCATAGAATATTGCATTTAGTAATTAAAGTTAAAATTTGATATTTGATGAAGTGAAATATAAAAAGATCACTAATTATTCCAAATTTAATTTGTATTTTAATATAAATATGTGAGAAGATCTGATGATAAAAATTATTCTCTCAATTATTTTAGCATAGCTTGTTTCAATAATCTCAGAATACCGTTCTCATAGACTTCCTCTATGTGAGTAAATTATTGCCTCCCTCCTGAGATCTTTTAGGAGATAAAAACAAAAACCTCTAAATGTATTCTTAATTTGCAAATCCACAATACATTAGTTTGCTTTGGTGTGTTCAAAATCTTTGTAAATACCCTTCAATTAAAATGTTGCACTAAGAATCTGTTTCTAGTGCACCTGTGACTGTGCTGTGTATGATCTTACCATAACTCTCAAAGTCAAGGATTCAAATCTGTTTACTGCAACCATTTTAACATACACTTTCCAGTGACGTTCTGTAATAATGCCTTCTGAAGACTTTACGAAGGCCTGATCTTGCATTTCTGCATCATTTTCCTTCTAATGTAAAGGATACGTGGGATTTCATTAATGTGTTTCATCCTGATAATGAGCACAATTACAAAGAAATAAAAGGGGGAGAGGGGAGTGGTGACACGGAAAATTAGAAGAAATGCTGTGTATGTGAATCTACGATGTTAATCTAGTATTTTGATTAGAGAAGAGGTGTGGTTGCCGTTAATAACAATAGCCTGTGCCCTACACCCTTCACCAGTTTTATCCCATCAGAAGGTCTTCACTGCTTCATTTCAGAAATTCAAACTCCAGCCATTCTCAGTACAAAGCGTCTTAATCCAGAGTTCTCAGCTACTCTTTTCCTTCAACTCCTGCCATCCTTAAGCCCATATCAACACTTTGACTTCCTGCAATCATAATTCTCTCTCCTCAGCTAAAGACTAGTTCTACTAGAAGCCCATGAAGCATTGTAATTCAAAATGAGAAAGTGCTATTACTTTGTGAAAATAAACACAGTTTAGAAAATGTGATATTGCCAATGACAGAAGGCTCTCCAAAACGCTTTTCAGATTATTACAAAAACAAAACTGGTGTTTGTTCTTTCCATGACTTCTAGATGGTTATCTTTGCTAAATTTCTGGAAAGGCTAAGTAACTTGTTTGCTGCAGCTATGAGTAGATAACAATCAAATCCGCTACTGAAAATTTAATTTATGGACTGATATGTCCATAAATTAAAGACTTTACTACATTCCTATCAGTCTTCTCTCAATAATTTTTGAACCTTTTGATCAAAGCTGACAGAGAGGTTGAAGTTTCAAAGCTTATAAATTCCTACAAGATCCTTGAAATCTGGCAGAAAAGTAGAAGTGAAAGACCTGCTCAGTTCCCTTAATGGGGGAAAAGCTGCAGCCTGTAACAAGAATCTAGCATGTGAGGGACAGGGAAGGGAAAAAGGGGAAGAGGAAAAGGGAGAATGTTGCAAGTGCACTTGCTATATTTGAAACTTTTTAGAATTTTTACTTTTTATGTGAGTTACAAGCTGTTGCATTCATACAGCAAAGCTGGTTTCAGTAATTCTAGACTTTTTGTGCCGTTGTGTTTTGCTTTTTTTTAAAAACAAACAAACAAACAGAAACTTAGAACCTAGGGGATAAAGTTGTGGAGAAAACTGCTACTTTTGGTATGAACACCCTTCTTAGCCACACTCTTCATTTTCTCATAAGAAAGGTAATGCAGGGGCTGAGATTACTGCCAGAAGGATATAACTCTGTTGTAGTCTAAGGCCAATATAGAACGTGCCTCATAAAAACAGTATTTTAGCACTGTGTAAATAAATACATTTTCACATGATGAACACTATTTTAACAATATTTCACTGGATGCCAAGCTGACCACTTTAGACAGCACTGCTGTTAAGCTGAGGTAGCCAAAGATTATAGTTGCCTCACGTTTTTATAACAGCTACTGCATTAGAAATTGTTTTCTGCTGTAACATCACCTGAGCTAGCATAAAATACAGTCTGCCCTCACAGACCTTGCCTACTTTAATTAGTAACCACAAGAACAGTCCATACAGTAGAATGCCATACAATCATGTGCCTTAGCCTAACAATTGCATCCAACTCTTTACTATCCACTCCCTGATGTGCTCTACTGTGTATCCTGGATGGCTGGACAGCAGAGTTCTTGGAGTAGGCAAGAAGAACAAGCAATATAAAGTTACAATGCCAGCTTTGGGATTTTACTTCATATATCAAACTGATGCAAAATGTTTGAATTTGAGGAAGAAAAAAGATTAGAAATTAATGCCTGTCTCTTGCAGGTATAGAGCAGTTGCCTCCTGGAGCCGCGTTCAGGGAATTGGAATCCCTATGATCACTGCTATTGAAATTTTCTCCATTTGGCTTCTGTCTTTTATACTGGCTATTCCAGAAGCCATTGGTTTTGCTGTGGTACCTTTCAGATACAAAGATGAAAGTTATGTTACCTGCATGCTCAACCCTACAAATAAATTTATGTTGGTAAGTAACATCCTTTCCTCTCTTTATAAATTAGACACTTAACATGCACTTTGTTAATCTGTTAAGGTGCAAAATGTATTCTGATATGTATTGGTGCAAAGAGGGTCTTCAGTCTACAGGTATCAGCCCTCTGCTTTCATTCAGAAAATATCAAATGTGACATTACAGCATCATTCACTGCTAAGGATTCTTAATAAAGAAATCTGCAATTAGGGCCTAATTATAGAACAACCAAGAGTGTCACAGCCCTAGGAGGCATTGTGTTTCCAGGTATAACACATCAAAGCTCTAACTTCATTTTTCCTATTAAAACACTTGTCCAAAATCAGAGAATAATCCCTTCATTTATCAGAAATTACAGTTATGAAATTGACATATGTCCAACCTAGGTAGCTGTGGCACTGTTAGCTGTCACCCAAGCACTGCTACTCAAGAGCAAGAGAAATACTGAAGTACACACCAGGATTCTTAGGCAAATTTCATAACCCTCTGCCTCTGTACTACTGCACTTTTCCAGTCACAAATATCCACATTAGCTTGTTCAAAGCACATCACATGAGCAGTCACTACAGAGTTAACCCATCTACTGCATAGAGGGATAGTGAGTTTCTGCTTGGTCTTACCTTCAGGAAAAGGAAAAGAAACACCTTCTTCCCTGTAAACCCAAGGAAGGGCCATTCTTCATCCACAAATTAATTTTTCTTAGAGGTAGCAAAAAAGGGATTTGTTATGTTTTGTTGCAGGTAATGCAAGATCTTGAAGGAAACTCCACAGTTTTCCTGACCCAGAATTTTTCATGACAAAACTGTTTTCCGTTTTCAAATGCCACATACTTGTACTTTTACTGGATCTTGGGCTAGATCCAATGTAACCTCACGTGGCTTCGGTTAGAACTGAGAAGGGTGAGGCAAATGAAACGAGGACATGTATAAAAATAAATAATTAGCATATAACACGCATAAAATAAATAATAAATAAAAAGGGTGCAGGAATTGTGTTTTTCAGTAGAATACCATCAACTTTGGCAGGGTTCCACAGGCTGCAGGGATGTCAGAAGCAAGAGAAAACAAAAGCAAATCTCTAGTGGAAATAATACAGGTGAAGAGGAAGTGAAACTGTTCAGAACTTGTACTATATTTCTTAACTGCACAGACAACATGGCTTGCAGATAGTTAAAAGTATGCTTTACTGCAGTGAGTGTAAGTCTGTGCATTTTTAATAACAACTTTTCTCCACAGTTGTGGTTGGACAATCTGTACTTCCTCTCTCCCTGAGAAAAATGTTTTATGTTTTTCTCATCCTGTTTCTCCAAAGCACAGTAGTTCAGGTCCCACATAGGCACAGTAATGATTATTTTTCTGTTCCTAATGGACTTAGTAGAACGGCTTGGCTTGTTTTGCATATTGGCAGGAATTAGTAACTTTTATTTGCTCAGAATAATTCAAATATCTAAATCACTCCATGCCAGTTTGATTTTTAAGGATATAAATCAGCATTTAGGTTCAAGCTGAGAATAAATGTTGGATGCATCAGTCAAAAAAAATGTTGTGTTTCAATGTAATCCAAGCAAGTAGAAACAAGAGATTAAAATGGAAATATTTTAACCTTAAATATATTCACTAACACAAACATCAAATAAACAATTACTGAGCTTAGGGGAAGGTTTATGATTAACTTTTTTTTTTTTTTAAATAGGTTAATTCATTCAATTTTAAAACTATTCTTGAAGGACTATAAAGGTTCATGCTAGACCATGATTCCCTAGAGGCTGAGTGCACTAGGAAACTTGTTTAAAATGCACATTTCCTGTAGAAAACTAGTTCCATGTGGGCTTTCAAGACAAACAAAAGAATGCCTAGTTCTCTTAAATCAACCCAGTTTTGTGCTTTGATGTAAGCTTTGACAAAGTCAGATTCCATAATTAACCATTTGCAGACATTTCTGTGTAGGATTTGTTACTTCATAGTCAGGTTTTTGTACAGAATTTGTGTATTGGTCAGGGTTGTGAAACAGGACTGTGAATGCATTGGCTGACATGCAATACTCATGAAAGCTGGTTAACAAATGACAAAACTTATTCCTTTTAAACATAGTGTGGATTCACACAGTATGCATTTTACTGTACTGCCCAACTAATATGCTTCTAGTCTAACCCGTAGGAATTTCCCACAGAACGGGCAATTGCTCCATGTATTTGTAATCCTTTTCTCTGCAGGAGGAGTGGTAATTAGATTTCCCCTCAGTACAAACTCTTAAAATACGAGGCATTTTGCTTTCTGTTTTTCTGCTGGCAGAAACTCAGGTCTCAGCTGGGAAAATGCAGCCCTAGAGGAGTGTGTAACTATGCATTAGACTGCAGCCCCTCCTCGTGCAGGGATGAGGTTACAATAAGGAGGAGGAAAGAAGCTAATGAGCACAGTTCAAGATGCCTCTAGAGCAGGGCTGTGGCCTAGATACCTCAGCATACTCTAAATTAACAAGCTTAGTAAGCAGATAACTGTTGGGTTTAGATGGAGACAAATAAAAGCCATTTCCTTTTTCCTCAGTAAATCAAGTCTCTGATGCAACTACAGCAGACTAAGAAACGAACACTACTAAATACTAAAGATTATTGCATTGCATTTGTTTCCTTCATCTTTCAAAGTTTAGTGCCTTTCAGTTTTAAATGTAAACAAGATGTCAAAGTTTGACTTCTTCAAACAGGATCTGTATAATCCTCAGTTATTAGCATTTTGACATTTGGTGTGGGAACCATCATGTTACAAGAGCACATCCGCTAGGAATAAACAAGCTTGAGGAAAGATCAGGAGAAAGAAGGTTCCCTTTTACACATAGTCATCTCAGTGACTAATAATGTAGAGACAGGAAGTCTTTAAAGAGTCGTATGTCAGTGCACAATTTTGGCTGTGCATGAAGTTTAAGAATTAAGATACAATAATGTTTTTAGCCTGAAAATAGCCTACAGAAAACAATAATTTTGAATATTGTTTCAAATACGCTGTTTCCCATAGAGCATAAATTGTTAACATAAAACACAACTAGCATTTAAATTACACAGGCAAATATGGATACTCTATCAGTTCCTTCTTCAGGGTCTTGTCACAAAAGTCAAATGGTATGCAAGGCACATGAAGGGTTAAAAGTAACTGTACCAATAGAAGACACCAGTCCTAAGCTTTCCATATATCAAACACCTACAGAGAGGCTTCTATCAGCCCTACATATAAACAACCAACTACCAGCACTTTCACTGATAAGGAAAGGTGGCTAAAGTTACAAAACGCTTTGAATTTTCCTTTTTTGGAATAAGAGCAGAAGCTGCAGAGGTAAATGGCATTTCCTGAGACAGGCATTTAGAGATATTTGTTATCTCACACTCAGTGTCTACATTGCTTGTACATCATACTGAAGTTGGAGCTGAACTCCTTTTCTTGACTAAGTATAAAGTTTCAGAAAACACAATCAAAATTAATTTCTTCCCATACAAGACAGATTGCAACAAGGGTATAGGCAGATTGTCACTGAGGTAAAATAAATGTTTACAATGCCACAATTCACATGTTGATGTTGGTCCGAAGTATATCCAACTGATAAAGTTTACATAATTTAGGGCCGTTCGCAAATAGATGCATACAAGCATACTAACTTTCCATTTCCCGTATCTTTGTGGTACTTTCTATTGAATCATATAAAAATACTTTCTCTTTTCTTTACCTTATCTAGTTTTACAAAGATGCAAAGGATTGGTGGCTGTTTGGCTTCTATTTCTGCATGCCACTGGCGTGTACTGCCATCTTCTATACGCTAATGACTTGTGAAATGTTAAACAGAAGGAACAGCAACTTGAGAATTGCTCTCAGTGAACACCTTAAGCAGGTAAATATTAGGACCACCAATGTTTGAAAATACTATTCTTCTGTCTTAGGGTTATTTTAGAAATGTTTCTATGTTTGAATAAGTTACAGAAATAGGAGGTGAGGGTGTTGACTATTTCTGATATTAAGGTATTCAGTCCATCCTGGAACACAAGACTAAATCGTAACATAAGGAGATACTAAAGGCAGCTCAAGAAAGTAATTGGTGTATTTCTTTTCTTAAGAAAGTGTGATGGTTGTGTTCTCCCGTTCGTTAATCTTTGTAACTACAAAGATTTTAAAATAAATTTTTTCTTGCCTCGTTATTACTACATGAGTCCTTCCTACTTTGGTGCACTTTGATATGCAATTTTAGGTTCATATGAAAAACCGCTCTAGAGTAACTTAGTTTAGAACAGATATTTTTTTCAGTCTTACTGCACTGTGGCAGTTACTATTGCTGTAGCTTCACTGCTTTGAAAAGTGCAGTAAGACTAGGACAAATGATCACAAAGTCACTCACGGAACCGTCAGTTCTCACTATGATGTTTTTGCAGCACTGTCTGATTTTTCATTGCTAACTGAAACTTAAAAAACAACCTGTAGTTTTTTCACTGCAGTTAGTCAGACAAGAGGGTATAATATTAATTTCAGCCCTTCAAATTCGACTTTGTTCTAAATTCCACATTTACCAGTATGAATCCCTAGAGCAGTTCTTTCTAGCTGAGCGAGCTCTTTCAGAGATTCCTTCTCTGCTGCCACATTTCAGAACAGGGCAGATCAGAGGGATCTTTGCCTTTCTCAGATTTTCCACCTTCTCCCCCTTATCAGACCCTAGGACTCACAATTCAGCCCATCCTAGGGCCACACAAGACTACTCTACCCATTAGAAGGACAATGGTATGCTCAGGGGAATCTGCCCCCCAGCTTCCACAACTGGATAAGCAGTGCGAGCACACTACTTGGACTGGATCCTGGAGGATGAATTTATGCCTCTGTTTACCAGTACTCGTCCCTTTGTCGCTTTTTGTCCTTCTTTCTTTCTTCAGTCTTGTCCACATTATTTTCCAGTTACGTTTCTTCTATTTTGATAACAACTGCTTTATAAGAAAGAAGAAACACTAATAGCACCTAATGAGACTTGCTCATACATTCAAGATTCTTAATAACAACCTCGAAATGCTTACTCCTGTCACATTACAAAGACAGTTCTAGAAGTGGTACTCTTATCCCCACTTAATCCTCTTTATCAAATCCACACCTGCCAAAGAACGCTGGTAGACATCGCCCAAAATCCACTAATACATCAGTAAATCTTGAAAGTTGTGTAAAATATCCATTAAATATAAATTTTTTCCTAAGCATTGAGATTAAGCTGTAATACAGACATTTCTGTAATTTTGCTTGTAGAAAGAATCCATAAGAACATAAAGATCACATTGCAAGGATAACAAAATTATAATACTGTGCAGTACCCTTCTATACGACAGGATGCGTACCAAATATAAGATATCATGGAGAATGATATCCTGACTAGATACATTGTACAACAGAATTGTTATTGCCAATTGATTTGGGTGCCTTGAGTTTACAAATTACTTCACATTAAGGGTTACCTGAAAGTGTTTTTATCAAATAGGAGTTATCTCAGTTTCCATCATACACGAAAAAAATTTCCTAGAGAGTATGTATGTTTTTAAAGAAAGATGATAAACTGCCAGAAAAGTAGTCCACTGGAGAGGAATAAGAAAGACTGGGAAAGCTGTCAGGTTTTGGAATGCTCAGCAGTGGATATTGTTAGCCTAACAACTACTAAGTCCTGACAATGCCCTGTATGCTCCAGCTGTGCCAGTTTCAGAGATGAGAAGGTAATGTAGAGGACTGCCAGAGTTAAATAAAGAGCAAGACTCATTAAAAAAAAGTTCAGAGGCATCAGGTGGTCTGGAAGCTGCACTTTCCTTGCATGCTTATCTAAACAATTTAACTTTACTGCTAACATCACTACAATCTCTTATCAGTATGAACTAGACACTAAATCATTGTTATCTTATTTTTCTAGCGCCGAGAAGTCGCAAAGACAGTTTTCTGTTTAGTAGTGATATTTGCTCTTTGCTGGTTCCCCCTCCATTTGAGCCGAATTTTGAAGAAAATGGTATACAATGAAAGAGATCCCGGCAGATGTGAACTGCTCAGGTACTTCATTTTCCATATCAGTAACTTATTTATACTCAAAAAATACATCATGTCATGCATTTGAATATTATGTGAGAAATGTCACTGTACACGCAACTTCATTTTATGATTTTTCAACTACACCCATTTTCAGGTGGATGTTCTTACGGCGTAGCATAATTACAATAAATACTATATATATTGCCATTGTAATCTCTTTCCTGGGGCTCTTGAATTTCTGTGAGACTGCCCGCTATAGGTATCTCATGGTAAAAGATAACAGAGGTGAGAAAGAATTTGTTTCTGTGACAAAAGAGATTGCAAACAGGAAAACATGTATGCTTCCACAGCATATGAAGAACGAATTTTGATTTCTTTTTTTGTCATCTAGTTTCTTGCTGCCATTGGATTATATCAGCATCAACCTGGCAACTATGAACTCTTGCATAAACCCAATAGCACTCTATTTTGTCAGCAAGAAGTTTAAAAACTGTTTTCAGGTAAGATCTTTCTGATACTATGTCCAGCTGATAAACAGCATTCAATCACTCAGCTGTTACCTTTCTTCCTCACCTAGGAGGAGAGGCATGCAAATGAATGACTAAGTTGTCACCAGCTAGCAGGTCATACTGCAGACATATAAAACTCAAAGAGGAAACTGTCCACTTTATCTGAAATGCTAGATCAGTAAATAAGTCTGACACAGTCTTCACATGTAAACAATCAGCAAGATAGACACGCTCTTGTAAGTGGTGCTTATAAGAATGTGACCTGTATATTAAATAGAATTCAGTTGATACCCTAATTCACTGCTCTAGATGAGCAAAAAAGACATTTACGTAGGGTACTAGATCTGACAGCAGTTAAACAATCCCAACTAAAGTTTCCAGACTTTTATATCAAAGCAGGCACTTCAGTTGACCTTGGTAAGTAAATAAACATTATGGCTTCTGCCTGCATTCTTCCAGTTCCTACACTGGAAAACATATTTTAAGGCTAAAATAACTGTGACACCATGTCTCTGCAAGGCCATAATGACAGAAGGAAAATGAGAGCAAATAGTGTTATAGGGTGGTGAGAGGGAATAGGAAGACATAGTTAATCTGCAAAGAAAAACAAAGACAGAGCTGTACTACAACACTTTCCGAATTCAAATAGGCGACACAGAATATCGAAAACAATGTAATAAATGATCAAAGTAGGGAAAGTTTGTCAGGGGAGTATTTCCACATGGCTAACATGAAATCAGCTTTGGTTTTGATGGTCTCCTACTTCATTTGGGAACAGTGGAGAAGATAACATGTGTTGACCTGACATCAAGTAAAAGTAACACGGATGTTCTTCGTATCATTACTACATTTTTTTCCCCTTTGCTCTTCCAAAAGATAACTCCATCCAACAACGCTGAGTCATTTTCAGATATGATTTCATCCTTTCCAGCTTCATATTATAACTTCCCTTTTCCTTTCTAGTACAACATGATCATTTCAGCCAATCTCTCAATTTCATATTCAAGCTTAATATTCTTCCTCTGCTGATATTTTATATCCCCACCCACACATAGATAGTATATATATCATACGACTGGCCACATCCTTCTCCAACACTTCCTGCTAACTTTGCTCAGAGATGTTATGGATTTAGTGCTATTACTGCCACTGCTCCTCTGAGGAGCTAACTCTCTTCCCGTAAAGCAAAGCTTCCATCTTCATAGAGTTAAGCATTAGTTTCTGCAAAAGGACAGGAGAAAAGCTGAAGAGTAATTCCTCATCCTTTCAGGTGAGAAAAGAGGACATCCCAGCCACGGATTACCTTCTTTTTGTTTACTATCTGTTCTTAAAGGTGAAAAATGATACAGAGCTCAACATACTCACCATCCCTTTTCCTAAACAATTTTGCCTTCTTCTAAGAAGTCAGAAGAGACCTAAGTCTCTTTTCTCTCTTACATTTTATTTGAATTGTGGAGGGAAAAACCATCACCCAACTTCTACAATGTTTCCTATGAAAGCTGTTTTCAAGTCAAAGGCAAAGGACAGGCCTATGTGCAACTTTGTGCCTATAAACCATTTACAGTCATAAGGTAAAAATTTTGCTCACATGCGCCTATCACTCACTCAGTGAGAATCCTCTGTTCATTTCAAAATAAAAAGTATTGTTGGCAGTGTTTACAGAGCTGACAGATTTGTGACAACTTTTTTTTTTCCTCCCAAATTTTCAGTCATGTCTTTGTTGTTGCTGCTCCCAGTCAAAAAGTTTAGCGACTTCAGTGCCCATGAATGGAACAAGCATCCAGTGGAAAAACCAAGAATTAAACAATCACAACACAGATCGAAGCAGCCATAAAGACAGCATAAACTGAATACTAACGACTCTGTCACCACTTCGGAATCAATCAGAAAAATAACTATCACAACAAAGTTGTTTCTACAAGAAGCCTAATGAGCGTTCCATCATCAATTCAGAAGTGTACATCCTTGTAGCTATCTCTAGAGTTGACAGACTACAGCTGTGATGCTTTGTGAACTGAGATCTACTGGATGGTAATTCTGTCTCTGAGAGTTATGACGAGTATGAAACCTAAAAAATGACACGACCCATACAGGTGGTTTGCTCTTCCGAACCAAGCAGAAACTATCCAACGTTTAACTGGTACATCAGTCTTCTTACCTGATTGTCACTAAGAATTATCACTATGGAATTCTTCTGAAAATATCTAAGTGGAACCTGTGTATATTTCCTCTCTGCCCATTTGTCTTTCGACTTCTGTTTTTGTGGTGGATATATTCCATGCACCACTACATTTTTCGTATTGTTGTCAGTATTTTTACTCAGATTTATTTTGGAAAATGTTTTGTTCCACATCAGTATGTTATTTACTTATTGTAACATAAGTCATGATATCAGCTGGGCAGCTCACACTTACAGCACTTGAGTACCCAAAAATAGGAAGAAACCATACAAAAGAGCAACGACATTTGGCACTTAAGCACCGATTAATACCAAAAAAGAGGTACTAATAATGCAGTACTGCGCTGTGTTATTTATTTTAAAGCTTTGTACAAAATAAACAGTTTATATCAGAAAAATGAATAAAAGATGTCCTCAGGCATCTTACAATGTGTTTTCAATTAACCTGTCATGTTAATTCGTAAACTATATTAACATATTAATCTACTTAGACTATAGCTGCTTTAAATCTGTGTCAAAATGAGTCACTGGAACACAGTGAAATATTAATAAACCTGTTCAAAGAGATCTGAGAATATGATTACTTCCATAGCAACTGTGCATAACACTACTTACACATGGTGAACAAGAAGCTACTACAGTCATAGCCAACGCAGAACTGTGGAAGTCCATAAGAGTTGGATATGCACACAGGTATTTGGTGCCATTTGCTTACAGAGGTTTTTTTTGCCTTACTCTCACCATGTTCAAAGATTTTTACGAGGTTTGACAGAATTGTTAACCAAAAAATGCTGTTAATAACATATAGAAAAATTTGCTTGCATACATATAAACCAGTATTTTACTTATTTATTTCCACCTATTGTGGTTACATGGCAAGAGATTCATTGTTTGGTGTAAAAAAATTAATGGTAGGCTTATTCAGTAGTGGAATTACACAGCATGGTGTCAGAAATGCGCACAAACCTGCCAGGAAATCTGTAACTCTTTTGTGCCATATTAAGAAACAGTAACTGAATTCCCACAATTTTTTGCAAGTGTTACTTTTCAAGTAAAAAATATGCAGGGTTCTACCATTATTTACAAGGTCAAAATGCTAGTGCCTACAGTGAAGCCTGCTGCACAAATTTCCCAAATGTTTACATTCACACAGATCTTCTCAAGTATATTAAAAAAAACTTTTTAACTTATTTGTTTGCTTTTGTCTCCATGCTCTATGTGTTTATAAATACATACAAAACTATGGTCATGTTATTAGCATAAATACGGTCTGCTGACAGTGCTCTGTAGCAATTCTACTGAATGCAACTCGGCTCAACTTCACTCAAAACTGTTAATCCTCAAACCGTATCAAAAATCATAGCAAATTAGTAACAATGCTTTCAATATGGAAGGCCTAATTACACGGAGTCTTTAATATCCTCACACCCTCATTGCTGAATGTATTGAGCAGATATTAAATGAAAGAGGAAAACAGACACGGGGAGTGACCTTCAATAAATTGGCACTTCATTTTCTGTAAAAGAGCCAAACCAGAAATTCAACTGCATTTAGTAATAAGTTTTTTTCGTTTTTTTTTTTGGCCAAGTTCATAGAATGGCTTGTATTGGAAGGGATCTCAAGGATCATGAATCTCCAACCCCCCTGCCACACGCAGGGCTACCAACCTCCACACTTAATACCAGACCAGGCTGCCCAGGGCCCCATCCAACTTGGCCTTGAACACCTCCAGGAATGGGGCACCCACAGCCTCTTGGGGCACCCTGTTCCAGCACCTCATCACTCTCATAGAGAAGAAATTCCCCCGATATCCAACCTAAATCTTCCCTCCTTCAACTTTAAACCCTATCCCCTTGTTTAGCAAAAAAAGTGCTCCGACATTTACTCTTGTGCACCAAAACTACTGCAGGTTTAGTTTTGCTCTGCTGTTGCACAGAAGCTGTTTTATTCTTTGCATCCTAATAACCTTCCACAAGAAGTATCCTTCCTTACTCATCTGATTTTACAGATCTGTTTACATCCCCAGTTTGCAGTTCTTGCTCAACCAAGCCCAGCTGTTTCTATACAGAAATCTCTATTCCGCAATTCTATTTTCTGGAATCTTACAGGATTCACCTCTCAGCTCATCTTTACCTGCTATCCATACTTCATGTAGTGTTTACATTTAATACCTCCTTCATATTCATACTTGTTCCCCCTACTCCTGCTTAAAGTTGTCTCCTTCCTATTTAAAGGTTCAGTACTGTTTTCTGTTGGGCAGGAGAAGTTATTACCATATTTTCAGTACAATTCTTGAAATTAATATTTTTACATCTTGTTCTCCACATGTCCAGGTTAATTTCTTTCACTTTTTGTATTATCTGTACATCATAATTAAAATCCATTTAACTATCATCATCATATTTTTTTTAATGGACTTCAAAATTGCCAATTCTTGTCAGCATAAAATTTTACTGTTTTCTCCTACGTACAATCTCACTAGTTAAAAATCAGGCACTTCCCAGACATTTCTTTAAATTTAGAACCCAAGTGCTCTTGTTTACAATATGTTTTATTTGAAACTACCTCACTAAACATTTCCCCTTTGTGTACCTTATCTTTACTTCACAGATACAGCATACATGTGTTTAGTTACATTTAAGTTGCATGTGTTCATTTACATATGAAACTGTGCTTTAGACCTGACCTAGGTACTCTTGCTAAATTGCCTATGTAAGAGTTCATCCTAAATTTTACCTGATAAAACCATTACTCGGGTTTCCTGAAAGCAGGTATATGCAGCCATCATGTTTGAATACATTTATTTTGCTTTTAATGCAGTCAGTTTTAGGTTTTTACCTGTCTATACCTACATCTCTCAACAACAATTATGACTCCCTGGCTTAAAAGACAATTTAAAGCAAATCTGATAGAGTTTCAAAGTTACAGCAGATTCTGTGAAAATGGATGGATGGAAGAACAAAAACCCATGCTTTACAAAAAAGATTGCTGAAATTGAATACATACGTATTCCATGAGTTAACATAATACAGTAGTGTTGAGAACATGACAGCTGAAAAGTTATTTTGATTAGAGGTTACAACTTGTAAGGCATTTGAGAATAAAACCAACAAACACTCTTGGAAACCAGTATTCATAAGTTCGAGTGCTTGTGGAATTACTGATTTTGCTCTCCCTCTCACCATTTGCATATTTACCACAACCTTGTTACTATATCATACGATTCTTAGAAGCACTACGAGTCTCAGTTTGAAAGGAGGATGGTACAAATTCCATGCATTTCTACACTTAGATCTCTGTCAAATGTCCCTGAGTCAAAGTAAGCATTTTTGTTAAAAGAAACACACTTGAACTGCATGGCAACACTGCCTGGCAAAATCTCTTTCAAACTATCAGTTGTGCAAAGCTTGGCTTAGTAATGGATGCACATAAGCTCCCCTAAGTTGTTTTGCTTCCCACCAGGTGCTCAATCACCGGTTCAAGCTACGACTTAGCATTTCCACAAGGGAAGATAATTACATATTTACAGAACAGAAGTAATCACCTAGTTGCATAGGAAAAAAAAAAAAAAAAGAACACAAAAAAAAACAACAAAGCAAATGAACAAAAAACAGGTTTGTCTTAACTAAGAAACACACTCCATATGTGGGGAAAGAAGATAATAGAAAACTGTAGGTCACGTTCACTTTCTCTAAATGCAAATGAAATGCAAAGACCTCCAGTATTCCACCTAGAATCAACTTTTTGTCCCATACGTATATATACACCTGCTTCTGAAATGAACTGTTGCTGGAGTCACAGCTTTGCACTATCATGGGCTACCATTGCTTTTGTTACTCTTCATCTTTTTAAAAACAATGCTAAATTCTTAATTCTTTTGGAACCTTAACAATACATGACTGTGGCTCTTTTCTGCCAACCATTCACTAGCAAGCACTCAAACAAGGCGGGAGTCACAATAGAATGCAGGAGTTCGGAAGGAAACTTTGGTTTTAGGCTTTCCCAGGAAAGACCATCAGCCCCCGACCACTGCCAACTTGACACAGCCAAATTCACTGTCTACAGAGCAATTTCTTTGTGACTACCCAAAAAGCCTATCCATATCCTAACTTTACATGTCCTTTACATGCCTGCTGCAGTTATGCAGACCAGTTTTACTGCAACAACTCCACGCTGAAATCAATGGGGGTACATACCTCAGAAATACAGAAATGTTATACAGAGGAATCACAGAATCAATATTTACTAATGCAGGTACATAGCATGCTGTATTTCTGGAGCATTGACTTACACAAGAGCAAAACACCTCTTTGGGGGTGCGCCCTGCTGACTTCAAGTGAAAACCCTTGCTATTCTCCTGCTACACAGACCTCTGGAATGTGCCTTTCAGAAGAATTTTATCTTCTGTAGCTGATTTCACACTTAGCTGTTCTAAGGATGTATTTCGTGGCTTTGGGAAAACAGTTTACACCAACTAAATGCTGCATGAAGACATCACATACTTCCATTCCCGCTCAGAAGTTTCTGTCACAAGTATAAGCATTCTTAAAGCTTGTTTTGTATGCAAATAAAGTTAACAAGTGAAATAATAAGAAGAGCTTATAACACACGTGCAAAAAAAAAAAAGAGTTAAATGTCAAAAGAAAAGGAACTTCTATAGCTAAACCAAGATGAAAATAATTATTATCAAGCTCTGTTTAGTAACAGTATATTACTTTTTTTAGTTAATCTGCAGGTAAAATGTAATACTCTCCCTTGAATGTAAGATAAGAGTAACAAGATATGCTTAATTTATAGGATAACCTGCTAACTCTTTCACTGTTGAGTTTCTATGTTAATACAGATAATTAATTTAATGAACACTTTACATCTATGGCACTACTTTGTACCCCAAATTACCATACTTTAATGTATGGCAGTGGAAAACAGTGACAGCGCTTTCTACTAGGATGTAAGTGCTACGAAGTAATAGAAGGTAACAAAGAAGAAAAAACATTTGCCCACCCCTTCCAACAAACAGTGACAGTTCAAAAGCAGTGCAGTCTATCTGGAGAGATACTGCTCCCTTGGCTGCTAACCCTTACATGAGGGTAAGGAGAAGAGAATCCGGTCCCCACACTTACCAGTCACTCAAGAGCAAAGCTTGCACCTGAGCTCGCGGTTTAGCCCTGCCTTCTCACCTGGTGCTCAACCACTGGTTTAGGCTGTGACCTGGCCATTCCAGAGGTATTAACAACAATTTATTACAGTCGGTGCCAGGACAGAAAATGCAGAGGATTAACTATCCCAAATAAACAAACAGTGCAACTCAGGAACAATTCCAATCTCATCAGGGAGCTGAAAATCTATTTCAAATACACGTTGTACAAATACCCTAAAAATTTTTCCGAGACTATACTTCACAAGCCACGGCAACGTAGCCTGCACTGCAACCATAAAAAGCATTAGAAATGAAAGCCAATAATATTTAATGCTAATATTTTATGATGACTAAGTGATCTACAAGAAATTCTGAGCATTACCTGTTTTAATTATCCAAACTCTGCAGTATCCTTAGAACTCCGCAGATTCAAAAGGCAGAAACTTTCTCTCAGTAGTCTGTAGACCAGTTAGAGAAATGAGAAGCTGCGTATTGAATTCTAAATTCCGAGTCCCCCTACTCAGCGCTTAGAGTTTGCCCTTGGTATCTCTTTGCTGTTACCTTGTCCTTTTCCCTGAGATCTAATTCTTGACATACCACTGCCAAGAAGTAGGATGAATTAACTTATACTGAACTCTTCACTACATCCAATACTCCAAAAGTTTACACTACGCAGGCCTAAAGCTGGCCTTTGGTTTTACTATCCTGTTCCAAAAATTCTAGTGCAAACATACCTTATATTGTTAGGGTAGTTACTGAAAATAAAGCTAAATAAAATAAGACAATTTTAGGGTAAGTGAACATAGGAAACAGAGTAAAATTAAAGGGAAAAAGAGCAATTTAGCATTGGTATTGAAATTAGCTTTTATCTCTAGGAAAGGCTTCCTATCAATTTTTTCCTCAAAGCCACCTCAGACTCACAGTGAATAAGATGATGAATGGGTCTGCCTCACATCGTGAAAGTAAATGATTTATACAGTCCTTATACTAAGCTAAAAGTCATAAAATTGGTAATGCTTATAAAAAGATAGGCAATTCTGAATTTTCATT